ATGCGCTGGATTATTCAGCGGAATTTGCCCATCACAGAAGTAGAGAACAAGCTGACTCGTGAGGTCGTGACTATGACGCCTACAACAGTGAGGACGATGAAAACATACATGCGTTTTACCGCAACTCTTCTCGGTTGCATTGAGGATGACGAGGAAGGGCATCTTTAGAGTTTTGTATTTGGCCAATACATTGAAATGATTGCAGTAACTATTATTGTGTCCTTGTGTATTGCAGTAATTATTATGGACCTCTAGAACAAGCAGTAACATTGATAAATGTATTTGCTGGGCCCTGCGGGACAGCAAGACAGTCAATTGTTGCAATATCTACAAGCTCAAAGGTGGAGATTGTCGAAAGCAGCATATGCACTGTTCCTCAACGCTGCCGTTGGCCCGAGCGCGCATTTTTGTTCTTATGATTGCTGCCATCCCAAGCGTAATTGGGACCTTCTAAAAAAAAAAAACAGCCCCGAGTAGTGAACATACTGCTTCGGAGGATCTCAAGTACTAATTGGAGCAAGCGAGTGGCCGTTTCCCCCTATACGGGAAGAAATTGCAGGTCCTCCGGACAAAACCAGCATGTTACGTGCTTTGTCGGCCTTCTAAAGGGTAGGATAGGAGAAGTATTTAATGGGTGTCGAATTGACAACTAAGGTAGTAGAAAAATGTGACTGTAGTCATCCTACTATGGTGTCGATTTGGCGTGAAGAAGGAATGATCATCGGAGGGACAGATTAGTTATCACTTGGGTTTCGCATTGACACAATTCAAATGGAAGGTCATAGAGTTTATGGCAGGCCTCATAATTCTGTAGATTTCTACAAACTTACAAAACTAAGCTACTTTGTAGACACCACGAAAGTTATTTTGTAGACGTTTGTTGTCTGCTAAATTGGGGCTCATCTAGAGCACCAATAACTGCAGCTTGACTCGCTGTTTAGCCTGGAAGATACCCTCCAGTGAGAGGTGCATCATGCTGGTGCGGTTATCGTCCATTTCCCATTTCAAAATTGAGAAATCCGAATCGACCGAGGTGGTGTTAGCGAACACGGTCGCCAGTCCGCCACAAAAGGATCGCAGTTGATGGAATCGGTTTGAAACAGAGTCCCAGGCTTCGTTGAAATCGATGGCAACTGTGTGCTTGTCAATAATCTCGCGCAGGGTCTCATCCGCGTTGTACGCCTTCAGTAAGTCTCGGTGGTTGGCCTCAATTCCGTCGACATTGTCGATCTTCCAGTGTTTGCTGATGTGCTCGCGGTACGGATCTAGTACATCCCGCAAGAACACACCATGGCGCAGCCTAACTAGCTGACTGGGTAACACAGGTGGAGCATCCTGCTCAAGGCCGAGATTGCGCCATCACGCTCAGCCTCGACGCCGTCCAAGCCGTCGACCAGAATCATGGCATATACGGCGATCTGTCGAACAACCGCTTTCTTGGCTGCTTCGTCTAGGCGTTCATAGCATGCCCTAGCAAGCGAACCTTGATCCTCAATGTGAGCGATAATGTCGTTGATATGCACACGCATCGAGTGGAATGCCACGTACTCGGCCCCAGTATCACCGGACTGCTCAATTTCAATATGGAACATGCTGGTGAGAGCCTCGATCAATGCATGAATATGATCCTCCTGCTGCGCGATCAGCAGCGACCTCTTTTGCAGCAGAGCAAGCGTAACATTGATTGTGTCGATGGCAGGCGACACCGAGAAGGTGACAACCCACCACTCGTCTGATGGCAGCATCTCGGGACGTTTTGCCCTGGTGTAAGTGATTAGCTTGCGGTAGTGCACCTTGTAGAACGCAAGTGCGTGCAACAAGACCATCCATCGGGTGTTCCTCGGGAACGGCTTCAATAGCTGCGGTGCAGATCAGTGTGTTTACGTCAAGCGTTCCAAGAACGGATTCATCTACGTCTGTCTCTATGTCGACGACATGATCATCGCTGCGAAATCAAGCGAGGAAATCCAGGTCGTAAAGGACGCGCTGAAGAACGCCTTCAAGATGAAGGAACTCGGACCGGCAAAATTATCCTGGGGATGGAGATCGACCACGACACAACGGTCGGAACACTCATGATCAAGCAGACACGGTACATCGACAACGTGGTAAAACGCTTTGAGCAGAAAAACGCCAAGCCTGTGGACAACCCGTGCGCTACTGGGCTAAAATTGTCGAAGACACATTCGCCAAGAACGGATGAAAAACGGAACGCAATGCGGCCAAAGCCGTACCGTTCCCTGATCGGTTGCCTGCTGTACATCAGCGTCCGGACATCGCGTTCGTGGTCACGCAGCTTTCGCGCTTTCTGGAGAACCCTGGACAGCAGCACTGGAACGCTGCAGTGCATGTGCTACGCTACCTCAAGTCGACACGCCAACATGGGATCATCTACCAAGATGGCACGGGTAGTGTGATGCTCGAGGTGTTCTCGGACGCTGATTGGGGGTACGAACCTCGACGACAGGCGGTCCGTCTCGGGTGTCATGGTGATGATCGGGAACGCCCACGTGGTGTTCATATACAAGTTCCAGAGGACGGGTGCTCTCAGCTCTGCGACATGGCTTTGAGCCTGTGTGTTCATGAAGTGCTTTGCACGCGTGCAATGCTGACTGACATGGGCAAACTCCAGCGGAACGACAATCTGGGAAGACAACCAGGGCCCAATCGCCCTAGCCCAGAACACTGGCTACCATGCTAGAACGAGGCACGTGGACATCCTACACCACTTTATCAGAGAGAAAGTGGAACGAGGAACGGTCACGGTTGAGTACGTCGACACCAAAAACCAGTTAGCGGACGTTCTCGCCAAGGCTCTAGGGACAAAGACGCTCACGTTCCTGCGCGATGGAACCGGCATCATCGAGAAGGTCATCGTGCGATAGCGGTGAGTGGGAGTGTTGAAGTGCACTGCTCGTGCTCGGTTCAGCCAGACACCCGGACCGGTCCACCACGGACCGGTCCAGGATTGGCAGACGAGATCGAGTGGTTGGAGAGCGAAGATGGTGATGCTCCTCAAGGTTTATCGGAGATACCGGGGCCGCCATGCCCCGGTAGCTCCGCTCCGAGTGGTTACTCCTCCGACCTCCGCTCCGCTCCTCCAAAATTATCACTTTAGAATCTAAAAGGCATTGATAGCGGGAAACAGGCACGAGGGCTGAAAGGACGGAGTCATCGTCTGCATCATGGACTCAGACGAGCGAAGACGTCTCATCCAAGAAGCAATTTCCCGCTGTACTTTCCCGCCGAGTATAGTGTACCCTGAAGCATCCAATCGGAACGACGACATGGCGCCTATATCCAAGCTGTTCAGACGACCTTTAGTCGTTTGGGTTCCTGAATGTCTTAATGGAGGCAAGGCAGAGTGCATTTCCCCTAAGTGTCTGTGTACTCCTCGCGTGAAGGAGTATGTGCAACGTACAGTTGAAGCTGTG